CAGACCCAGGCCGTGGAGGGCGAGATCGAGCTGAACAAGCTGAAGAAGCTCATCTCCTTCTGTCGGATGTGAGTGAGAGCCCTGACTTTTTGGCTGCACGCTGGGAGGCAGTGGTGAGAAGGGAACCACGGCTGGCGTTGGCAAGCCTCTATCTGTGACCCCTTCTTTAACTCCCACCTTGAAAAAAGGGTGGTGGGAGCAACTCGTGGCACAGGGAAGCGAGGGGTGCCCGGGAGCCCCTCCCCGCCGTGGGGACCCTCCCGGGGGCGCTGCCTGTAGCTCGTGTCCCCCCCCACAGGAAGTGTGGCCCCCGTCTGTCGGCAGCGGCGGCGGAGAAGCTGAAGAACCGCTACATCCTGATGAGGAGCGGCACCCGGCAGCACGAGCAGGAGAGCGACCGCCGCTCCAGCATCCCCATCACCGTCCGGTGAGCCCCCCGCCCGCAGGGCCTCCCCGGGGAGGGGTCTGAAAGCCGTGCGGAGGTGTCCCCTGGGGACAGGGTGCAGAGGGGTTGGTGGCTGGGCTCGGTGTGGCCCAGCCGAAGCGAGGCCGTGCTCTCCCTTGGCCGCAGGCAGCTGGAGGCCGTTGTGCGCATCGCCGAGGCCCTGGCCAAGATGAAGCTCCAGCCCTTTGCCACCGAGGCCGACGTCGAGGAGGCCTTGAGGCTCTTCCAGGTGTCCACGCTCGACGCGGCCATGTCGGGCAGCCTGGCAGGTGAGGGGGTGATGATTCGTGGAGGGGAGTAGGAGGGACGTGCTGGGCCTGGCTGCTCAGGGCAAGGAGAGATGAGCTCTGCTCCCAAGACCAGGCTGGCAGAGGCAAGGAGTGCTGGCAGGGGCAAGGGGTGTTACCGGGCACCCCCTGGCAGGTGCTGGACCTGCTTTCTGAGCAAAGGCAAAGCAATGCCTGTGGCAGCAAGGAGCTATTGTGGGGGCTGCGGCTCACAGGAAAGGCCATGACAAATTACTCCAAGGGTTTCCACTCTTGGATGGAGGGATGGCCTGTCCACTTGTGGTTCCAAGGGCAGAGTCCAGTGCCGGAGGTGGTTCCACATCCTGCTTGTCCTTTAACATTTTTCCCTGTGGGGGTGGAGATGATGTTTCCTTGGGAGGCAGTGTGGCACAAAGGGTTTGAAGGACTCTCCAGCGGTCTGGTCCACGTTCAGCTGTGTCTGTGTAGCTTCGCAGCCTTTGAGGTTCTCTAGAGCCTCTGAGACATGCAGGTGTGGTGGAAAATAAAGGAGATGGGCACTCTGGCTTTGAGAGTGGCGTCGGGGTGGCACGGAGAGCTCACACAGCCTCTCCCTCCAGGAGCAGAAGGCTTCACGACGCAGGAGGACCAGGAGATGCTGTCCCGCATCGAGAAGCAGCTGAAGCGGCGCTTCGCCATCGGCTCCCAGGTGTCAGAGCACAGCATCGTGCAGGACTTCGTGCGGCAGGTGGGCTGGGGGCCAGGGCTCCAGGCTGCTGCTCGGGGGTGGAGAGCATTTCTGGCCATGCCTGCTTTTGAAGTTGTTTGGAGGGAGTGCTATGCAATGGGATTGCAGAGTTTAAGGAGCGTGAGGGGAGAACTCTGTTTTCTGCAAAAGGACTCGGGTCTGGGGCTGTTTGGGTTGGTTTGGGTCCTGTCCTTGGAACCAGAAGAGTTTGATTTGTGAGACAGGCTGCAGTCAGACCTGAAAATAGTGAAAGGGAAAAGGAGCTACAGTGCCTGCTGCCACCAGGCTCCCTTCCTTGGTGGGAGCACAGCCAGGCTTTAGTGGTGGTTGCAGGTTCCTGCTGGGCTCTGGTGAGCTTCTCCCCAGTGGTTCATCCCCCCCCCGGCTCTCCCCTTTTCCAGAAATACCCAGAACACGCCATCTACAAGGTGCTGCAGCTGATGATGCGACGGGGGGAGATCCAGCACCGCATGCAACGCAAAGTCCTCTACCGCATCAAGTGACCTGTCCCCCACGTGGGGAGGGACCCCCTGCTGCCTCTGTGCAGGGGGAATGCCCGTGGGGTTTTGGAAGCTCTTGGAAGAAGCTTTTCCTTGGGGAGCCAAACAGCCCAGGGCATCCCTCTTGAACCAGGGTTTGGGGCGGTTGGAGTTCTCCTCGAGTGCTCTGTCACAGTGTCATGTTGATGTTCTTTAAACTCCAGAAGCTTTTTTAGTTTGCATTCAAATAAAAACTGGTATTGGTAGCCCAGGGTCTTTGCCCAGAGGGGATGGGTAGCCCTTTTCCCCTTCAGGGGTGGTGCAGGATTGGTGCAGGGACTCATCTCGAGGTAGGATGCAGCACCAGCAGCCCTGAAGGCAGAAACTCATTTCTCACCATCATGGTTTAGGGTCAGGGCTGCCCCCAGACCTGTAACAGATGCTCTGTTAACCACCCTCCCTCAAAGGGGCAGAGAAAGGGAATAAGGGAGAGAGACTTATCGAAAGAAAAGAAAACAGTTCTAATGAAAATACTACTACTACTACTAATAATACTAAAATTACATATATAAATATATACAAAATCAGTATCAAACCCAATTCCCTCCTCCCCTCATGGGAATATGTCACCATCACCCCCTGGCTGGGGAGCAGGCCCTGGGGAGAAGTCCCAGGCTGGACTCCCTGGATTGAGTACAGAAGCTGGATTCTGGAACTTTTATACTGAATATGAGGGATAGGGGATACAATACCCCATTGGTGAATTTTAGGGTCACTTCCGTTGCCCATTCCTCCCTGCAGGTGCAGCTTTTACTTCTTTCTGCCCCCCTCTTTGTGGTACACAAGCTTTAGCAGTGACCTTGGTCTGCACACCAATCCCTGGTTGTAACTCTAAACATGGAGTGTTATCACTGCTGGAAGCAGAGAGTGCAGAAATCTGCTGTTAGCTTGAGAAAGTGCAGTTAGTTAGAAGAGCTTTAGCTGAAAAGTAAAATCCCTGAACAGAACGAGTTCTGTTCTACCCCAAACCAGGATGCTCACTCAGGGTTTGATTTCTCTATTAAGGCATAAATCCTGTTGACCCAGGCTGCCCTTCTGGGCAGAGCTCCCCTGGTGCTGGGTGGGGTAGAGCAGTACCAGGTGAGGATGGGGATGCAGGGCGGTGGCAAAGAGCTGTGTGCTCTTCCCCAGACCTCTGCCACCTTGTTTGTGTGCTGGCAGCTGTGGGGTGGGATGTCCCACCAGCCAGGAGCCTCTCCTGGGCTTTCTGCCTCAGGGGCACATTTGTGCAGCCACTGCCCTTCTCTGCTGAACGACCTTGCACGTGTCAAAATGCAGGGTTTTGTCATTTCCAGTGTGGTGTTGGTTCTCTTAAGATGTGAGGTGTGGGGAAGTATCTCTCCACACCTTGGATGGTGGGGGGCTCTGAAGACAGGGCAGCATTGGGCATGGTGGTGAGTGAAGCTGCTGCAAGTGCCAGAGAGGTGGCTGCTGAGGCTGCGGGTGACCTTCAGACTGATAAACACCCACCCAGAGAGGCTGCATGAGCAACAGAAACGTTCAGGGCCAGCAGAGGGTAGCAGAGCCTTGAGAATGCTGGGCTCTGGTACTGCACACAGTGCTGCCTCCTCCTCTTCCACCAAGAGGGGTCCACCTGGGCCAGGGTGGTGGGGTGTAGGGTGCACCCAGCCTGGCAGCTCTCACACAAGGGCTGGGATCCACTGCAATCCCTTAGGGTGGTCCAACAGCATCCCTCTTTCCTTCTGTGGGGGTGTTTGAGAGGTGCATCATAGAGTCTGCATTTGTGGAGGTCTGGAGCAGAGAGGAGGCTGGCCCAAAAGCTCCCAGTAGGATAGGCAGGGATAGGTCTCCAGGAAGCTCAGCCCAGTGATGTTATTGCTCTGTATTTCTGCGGGTGACACGTACCTCTTGGTGCTTTTTGGAGCAAGCAGTGCTGGGGCAAAAGTGGACACCCTTTTCCACTAAAAAAGAAAAAGTCTTTCCCCACACTGCTCCCTGACCACGAGGCAGGGCTAGAATAAAAGAAGGGTGCAGCTACCCTGAGCTGCTGCTCCATAGAGAGGATCAGCTCCATGGAGGAGGAATGAGTGAACATGGGACTAATAGCCACATCCTCATCTGGAGACTGAAGCTCCCATAACTGCCTGATCAAGCACTTGGTGTTGCAGCATCAGAACAAGGTCAAGCCACCTCTTGCTACAAGGAATTAGCCCCGGAACAACTTGCAGATGACATGGAATTCTGTACAAAATGTGTTAATTTGTGTGAGCCGAGGGGAGTTTCTCACTCCAAAAGGATCCAGTGCAGCTCTTGTCGCCTTTTTTGGTTCTCCATGGTGGGACTGGGCTGGGATTCATCTGAGCAGGCACCAAGAGCAGTGTCTGAGCAAGGCACTCTTCGTGTCAGTGCAGGGGAGTGAGTGCTTCCAGACAGCAAGTTGTTTTATCCAAAGTAAATGTTTAAAAGAAACCAGAGGGCTGTGCACTAAGTGCATTTGTTTGCTCTCTGTTGACTGCAAAAGGAGGTCAGGGCAACTCAATCAAGTAGGTATTTTTGCATCATAAGCATCTCAAACTGGAGAGATGTGCATGTGCTTCCTGGAGGAGAAGGGTTTGGATGAAGGCTTGCTTGGGGTGCCTGGCTTTGGGGCAGCTTCACTAGGTTGGATTCTTTTTGTACACCAAACTCATCAGAATATCTCTGTAGAAATGTCCCTGGAGCTCCTCTTCTGTAAAACCCAGCAAAGCTGACTCACCACATCTGCACCACTCGAATCTCCTCTGCCTCAGTGTAGGATGGGAGCTGTTGCAAAGCAGCAACTTAACCTCTGAGCGTGTTGTGAGTGTCACTTCCTCCATAAAACACAACAAAAGCCAACTGCAGAGTCCTGAGGGCTGCTGCTCAGGGGTGTGAGAGAAACACTGGCAAGAGGAATATGCTGATATGGGCAGTGTGGGAGATGATCTGAGCTGGTCCACCAAGCACTGACCTCAGAAGAAGGAAGCCAGGGCTCCTTCCCCCTTCTTCTTACTGACTTACTGGGCCAGTTGAGCAAGTGACTTCATCTCCTTGCATGTCCTGGATAATAACTTTTTTGGAGCAGAGACCGCCTCTCACCAGTTTGGTGTAGTGGCAACTGGCACAACAGTTGCCCAGTCTCAGGGACAGTCTCTACCTGCTGGCATAAATAACACCAACACGTTCTGGGGACTTTCCAGCCCTTGCCAGGCTGAGAACTGATGTCCCAAAATACAAATACATCCAAAGGCAAATCCAAAATTTGAGACAAATCCAAAATTTGTCCCAAAGGCAAAGACCAAGAGACAAAAGGAGCAGTCTCTGGGAGGGAGACCATGGTGCAGCAATGCCATGCTGCCATGGCATCACCCTGTGGAACACAGGTCGTGGGTCTGGATGCCTGTGATGTGGTCTGCTGGGTGTAGGTGTCTTATGCTGAGTTTCAAGTCCTTCAGGAAGTTTCTATAATGACCTCTATCCCCTTATTCCAGGCTAGGTTCCTTCAGAATCCCAAAGCACTGATTCTCCCACAGCTGTGATGTACAAGTGCCTGTTACTGCTCTTCATCCCATTTTGCCCATCCCTTTGCAACAGCCTTTGCCCCTTCCTGCACATTTCTGCTCTGGCTCTCTCCCAGCAATGCCTGTGAGTCCATTTTCTCCTCCTCCACCCCACTGCATGCCTCACGCCTGCTTTCTCTTCTCCTCTACATGGTCATACTCCTCTATTCCCCTTCCTGGCCACTGTGGTCAGTCCTTGGCCACCTTGCAGAGTGCCCAGCAAAAGCCTCTAGCCTGCTGGCTTCATGGGGAGGCAGGACACAGGGGTGTAATGTGCTGGATCAGCTCTCAGGGCTCTCAGTTAGGAGCTAGACACCAAAGGACATGCATCAGAGAATGTCCCCTGGACCATCTGCTGCTTCTTGGCTGTCCCTCTCCTCCCTGCCCTTCAGCTTCTATCCAGCCAAGATGTTCCACCTCCTCTCCCTGTTCTTGATCTTTACCTCACCTCAGCATCCCTTTTTGTTTCTAGCACTTTTCTTTTTTTTCCTTTTCTCAGTCTCCTGGGTGGGCAATTTGGCCAGGCAGCACACTGGGCAGCAGAGCCAGGCAGCACTGGTTTGTAGGCCCTTTGCACCACACACTTTTGGATCCTCAGAATGAAAGCAGGAGCATTATCCTGCCTGCCTTCATCAAACTAGCTATGAAATGCCTGCTGGGTGGGAAGCAGGTCTATCCACAGCTGGCCACATGCTGTGTGCTCATCAGCAGCCAGCACCTCTGTGGTATAAATAGGCACCTATAAATAGACACGTAGGCATCTTTCCTTTCTGGAAATCCTTCACTTGATGGAGTCTGTCAGGTCTCAGGCAGCACCTGGTACTTTGCTCTGTCACATGTGGTCATGAGGATGAGCTTCAGTATGTCACCAGGACCCCAGAGTTAAACACACAGTGCCCAAGACATTTTAGGAGGTTTTTAGAGCAACAGTTGAGTGGTCAGCTAGCATACAGGTAACAGCACCAGCCTGGACCCTCACACCAGGACAAGGTGCACACTCAGCATTATCAGTTACCTTCTCTTTGTGTTTTGCAGTGTGGCTGTGTATGGTGGGCTGACCAGGAGTGCAGAGACTGTCACCAATCCAGGAGCTTTCCCATCCCTGTGGGTTCAATGAACAGCTTTCCCAGCAGCACGTGGCTCTCACTAACTCCTCAGTGGCAGCCCTGCGTACCTGATGCTCAGTCCAGAGCTTTTGGCAGCACAGTTGGTGTGATGGGGGAACTACAATGTCTGATTTACCCAGCTTCTCTGGAGTCAGACAACTAAACCATCAAGGTTTCCACTGTAGCATCAGTACTGGCAAAGAGGGTGAAGCTTCCCCAGTCTTGAGATGTGCTGAAACTTGAGTTGTTGAGGTTGGAAGGTCCCTTTTGTCCCAGCTCACCTGACCTCCTGAATGACATGAGGAGTCTTAGAGGCCCA